ATGTCTCCTTCCCTTTTGCCTTTATTTGCGATGTGCCAGTAATAACATGTTTGGTTGGTCGTTCGTGCCTTTCAAATGTAATTAGTAGTTGGAAACGTCGACAGAGTGAGATATTCAGTCTTTTATTTTATTTTCTGTCCTATTGACCGACGATCCCAACTACTAGTTATATTAAGTTCTTTTCACTTACCAATATCAGGTCTAATAGCGATTTTTGGTCTCCTCTTATTCTAGTGTGAAAGTTCACTAATTGGTAAGCATTTGTTTCTTTGAAACCATCTAAAAACTCCTCAGCTGAAATATCATGCTTGACTGTTTGGAGGGTATTCGTCTATTTCTCGATAGTTGAAGTCACCAAAAATAATTGTTTTATTTTGTTGGGAAAAAGCAGCTTTAATTGTGTTGACCAGTTCTGTATTGCTATCTGGTCTTACATAATCTGTTCTATATATGCAGCCTAGTAGTATTTTTGTACCGCCTATGCTGACATTAACCGATAGTGATTTTGCAGGAGCACAAGTATCATATTTTTTCTCATTTGATGAATGGATTTGAATATAATTTTCTATTTCCTTGATGTATATAAGTAAACCTCCACCTTCTTTATCTTTTCTATCTTCACGAAAGGTCCGATATCCTGGCAGACCTATAAGGCCGTCTGATATTTCTGCATCAAGCCAAGTTTCTGTGATACAAATGAAAGTAGGGTTGGTTTTCTGAATACTTGTTTTCCACTCATTAATCTTATTCTTAAAAGAATGCAAGTTCGAATACCAATAGGTGACTTCGACCTCAGATTTAGCAGCTGTTGTAGAAGTCTTTTACTAGGTGGTGTTTCATTATTGTTTCCGGGACTTAGTAGGTACATTTTTTTTTAATGGAAAATATCGTCGCTGTTTAACTTTGCGTATTTTCCGAATGACTTGGAGACAATTTCGAGTATATGATACTCATTCGATGCAGAATTTTGTGTACTTTTATTTATACAGGGCGTTTCTGTACTGGTTAAAATTTAAAAAAAGTTAATAGAAACATAGGTCTGCAAATGCTTAGTTTTCAAGATACAGGGTGAAAAAAAAAAGGTTTTTTAGCTTACAAATTCATTTCTTGATTTTCTTTGAACTTCGTTTGTTTTTTAATCTCAAAAGGTATCTTTTGTCCTTATTTGATTTACCGTAATTATTCCAGTGGCTCCTCAGAGGGCAACTACGTTGGTAAAAGTAGAAATAAAATGGCATGTCACTGTTTTTTTATACCTTTCAAATTTTGATATTTAAGTGAGCATGCTTTATTGTCAAAGATTACACAGATCCTTATTGACAAAGCTAAGTCTTAAATAGACTACAATAAAAAATCAATTAGACACTCCATATAGAGCACACAAGCAGAAAATTTCTGCAAATTTCCAAAACTTTTTTTACACGTAAATAAAAAGCTTGGAACCATTTCCAGCTTTCCGAGAATAAATTCGACTACAAACCCTATGTTGCCTATTTGTTGGAAAAACTGTTTTTTTTTTTTTAAGTTCAGAACTATGAAAGGATATTGTTAAGGAAATTGGAGTATGTCCAAGTCCCCTTGCGTGGGCGTGATTTGATTGATCTTCTTTCATTCATGTTTTTTTCAAATCAAATCGTTTATTTCCATAGACATATAGGTACAATGTATCGGAATTGTCAAATAAATAAAATAAAGGTAAAATATCATTCACAAAAAACAAAATCAATTTACAAAAATCTAAATGAAGTTATGATTGAAAAACTCAATCAAGGAGTAGAAAGGGCACTCAGCAAGCATGGCCTTAAGAGTCCCCTCAAAAATTTGAAAGCCCGCAGTGCTCTTAATGCGTTCAGGCAGATGATTATAAATTCTCAGTGATGTAACTTCAGGACCATCCCGCACCTGAGACAACCTAGCCAAAGGAACATACAATTTATCCGCGTTACGCGTTCTGTAGTAATTAACGTCGCCAAACCTTGCACAGCCACCAGACTTCTTAAAAACTCGACAAGCACACTGCAAAATATAGATATTTATGACAGTTGGTATTTTTTCCCTTCTAAAGGTTTCACGGCATGATTCCCTGAAAGGAAGTCTGAACATGGTTCGGATAATGCGTTTTTGACATATCAAAACCCTCTCGACACCGCAGGAGTTGCCCCAAGCGGACAATCCATAGGCCAGAGTAGAATGCACCGCTGCAAAGTAGAAGGTTTTTAAAGTATAAGTATCCACAAAATCTCTGAGCTGTAGGATGGCATAGTTGCTACGTGACAATTTAGTGCATACTGACTCAACTTGATCATCCCAAGACAAATGTCTGTCGATCACAATCCCCAAAAACCTGGAGGAGTCCTGCTGAGCCAGGCCAGTCGATCCCTCCCTGAGGAGTAGGCTTCTATCTTCGACCACTCGTATCGGAGTAAAAACCATTAAATTGGTCTTTAAGCTATTCAAACAAAGTCCATTTCTACGGCACCAGCCCGCAATCTCAGCTACACATTTGCTGCCCTTCCAGTGCAGTGATTCATAGTCACGCCCAGTGACGAGTGCTGACGTATCATCAGCAAAAAGTGTGATAAAGCTGTCATCAACCAAAAGAGGCAAGTCATTAATAAATAATAAAAATAGGATTGGTCCAAGGACACTCCCCTGAGGAACCCCAGTTTCAACGGCTGCCCAATCGGAGATTGCTACTCGACCCTCAACATTCATCCTCACAGCCTGGGTTCTACCTGACAAATATGATACCAGCCACCCGTAAGCTGGGCCTCTTATTCCATAGTGAAAGATTTTATTTAGAAGTATGCTGTGGTTGATGGTATCGAAAGCCTTAGTGAAATCGAAGAAAATACCCACTGATTTCAGCTTTGCATCGAAACCATCCAAAATTGCAGTATATAGGGAGACTATGGCATCCGTTGTAGAGAGCCCAGCTCTGAATCCAAATTGACGGCATGACAGAATGCCAAAAGCGTCCAAAAAAGCGACAAGTCTTCTCCCGAAGGACCTCTCAAAAATCTTAGAGAATACAGACAGCAGCGCAATGGGCCTATAGTTCTCAACCAGCGATGTCTGACCCTTTTTGTGAAGTGGTATCACAATGGCTGCCTTAAGCTCTTTAACAAAATATCCAAACTGAAAGGACACGTTCAGAAGATAGGTCAGTACAGGGAGAATATTAGAAGCACATTCACACAATAAATTACAAGGAATCTCATCAGCGCCACATGACCTTTTTCCTGAGACAGATTTAATAATCTCATGAGTTTCACTCTCAGTGAGAGGAGACAAGAAAATAGATTGAGATATTCCACTGCACGGCATATTAATGGTTGTAGGTGCCTGAAAATTGTCCAGGAGTTTAGCTACTGATCCGACAAAAAAGTCATTGAAGGTGTTAGCAATGTTCAGACTTCCGGTAACATCCCTGCCGTTTGCTGTAATCTTATCAGGAACAGACTTTGACTTGCAGTTTGAAAAGCCTGTAGTCGAATTAATGATATTCCAAGCGGTTCGCGTAACATTCCTAGAGGTTAATATTTTTTGAGAATTAATAGTTCTCTTAGCAGTGGCTATATGTTTAGTGTCGGTGTCGCAGTAGTCTAAGTTGGAGAGTACTAAAGGATCGCACAGTCTTAACTTCACACTTGAAAAGAAGATCTACTTAGGGGTGTCACTTGTTTTGCATAGGTTAGTTGTCCATGATAAGACCCAAGTTTCTAACATATTCACTAAATCTTATTGCTTCGCCGTCCAAACTAAGCTGAACAGCTAAGATATCTTTCACATTCTTTTTACCTTCAAACACAATGGCATCAGTTTTAGACACATTAACATCAAGACAGTTCACATGTCCAATGGATTAAGTTTTGTAGATCTTCGTGGATCAAACTGATTGCCTTGTCGATGTCTTGAATGCGATTTTTTGAAATAAAATTACTGCCTTATTTTAAATTAACACCCTGTATATTTTGTCATCGGTGGAAAGTCTGATTTTTCTACTTTACAGAAATGTATAATTTTTTCTATTATCTTGAAATTGCATCGTAAAACTTGCACTTTAATGAAGAGGGTACCATCGACTGGCAAAAAAAATATATAATTAATTTGTGTTGTAACAATTACTAATTTCGTTTTTGTAGTGAATCGGTTGCATAGGTCTCTGGTATAGGTACCTATACCTACTTGTCTGAGTGACAGTTATCAAGTAAAATATTTAGGAACATGTGACAAAAAAACAAATCGCCATAATAACTACTTAGCTTCCTTTATTATCAGTTGAAATTGTTTTGGAAAATTTGGGTAATATTTTTTGAAATAACATTTCCTAATTAAAAGGAAACCAAAACTAGTAAACATCTTAAAGTCTGGACAATGTATTGTTTGTAAACAGCTAGTTGCTTTCATGCCAAGTAGGTATGATTCATGTTTTGTATTGATAATAATTATTGTTCAAGTTTATCTGCATCTTTGCAGAAGATGATCACAATCAAGCAAACGTCTCTCTGCGTTTAATTGTTTTTTGCAAACCAGTTGTTGAGTTAAAAGCAATAATATGCTACCCAAGAGATCAAGAACTAACTGATTAATATTTTGCAGAAAAGCTTTGATGATATTGAATCCGATAAGAGAGAAGCTCTGGATTCAGAAACCGAAAAATTGAACCAGTTTCAATAACTTAATGTCAACTAGTAAATATATTATCAACTTGTACCTACTCTACTCTAAAACTGAGTCTAAAACCTCAGTCCTATCACTCTTATAGTCCTACCACTTCTACTAGCTACTCTCAAAAACTGGATCTAAATGTTCTATCTGAAGTTGGTAATGGCCACAGTTCATAAGTTTAATCTATTTTGAAGTTCAATTCCATCGTTTCCCCTTATGGAACCCCTCAGTGATCTGTAAAAATTGAAACATGGCAATACTTGTACAACTTTCTATCAGACTCCATTTTCAATTATCCACTGTTAATATAGTTATTTTCTTTTTCAGTGGCGTCGACATCCCCTCTCTGCTCGAAAGCATGAATTTTAATGAAAAAATCGTAAACTCGATGAGAAATTCGAGCATGGGCTACTTCGCCATAACCTACGCCCTATATAAAATCGCAACCCCTGCCAGGTATGCGGTAACTCTGGGCGGTACAACCCTGTCTATCAACTATCTGAAGCAATGGGGCTACATTCGACCAATGCCCAGTACAGAACGACTAAAGGAAATTTATGCTGAAACAAAAACGGGCATGAAAGAAAAGAAAGATAATTTGATAGAGAGCGTGCACCAATTACAACAAACCGTAAAAGAGACAAAAGATGGCATTAAAGAAAAGAAAAATAGTATTGTTTCGTCAGTAAAAGAGTCGCAAAAAAGTATTAAAGATATTAAAGAAAAAGTTATTCGCAATACTTCTCAAAAACTACCAGAAAAGAAATGAATGCTTTAATTGGGCGTGAAGTTACATAATATTATGGAAACCTTTAGAGACTGCTCTAGACTAGACAAAAAATGATGAGGTATTTTCTATGGACCTTGAAGAAGGCCCACTAATTGATTTTTGGACTACCTATGTGTAATAATACTATTCTATGTTTTCTAAAATTTAGAATGTAAGATTTAACAAGAGATCCAGCCAGGTGGCCACCAGGAGTCGTCTTTTTATTATTTGTAAAATTCAAGCCTTTTTTACTATTTGCAAAAAAAAAATATACCTGTGTTTTTTCTTCTTGTTAAGTTTACAAATTTGATGTTTACCTATATTTTATTTAAATATAAATTATGTATTTTATGTTGGCTATGTAAGGTTATTTTTCGCTTGCAATCCTATAAATAGGAAAATAACAATTTTGTTTATCATTATGAGAATGAGAAAAATGGCAAGGTTCAATAAATTTTAGCAATGCAGGCGCTTTTATAATGAATAGAATCAATAGTTTTACACTTTGTTAATTCTTCTTGTATTGAAATTTGTTCCAGAAAAAAAGGCAACAGAGTCCTCAGTTTTCCTTTACAGTGTTTTCATTTCCAATGAAAATTATAAAGAAATCAGCCTTGTATCAAATGATTTTTCAATCCATGATTGCTAATTTCTCTCCACTTAAAATAAACAATAAAATGTTTATCATTTCAAAATTATATTTTAAACAAAATAAAGTTAACAAAAACATATTCAAACAAGCTTCACATTCCGTGATCGTATAATAACCTAAAATCAATATTTTAGTAAGAAAAACAAAAATTAAAAAACATTGATACCGATATATAAAGTAGGAACTAACAACTATTTTGGTTAATTATAGAAATGCCTAGTAGTACCATAATGATAATAGACTTAACTTCACGAATAACCAAAAGATGTATAGGAAGTAATAATTACTCAACAGTGAAAATATTACAAGAAAAGATTTAATAGATCTAACTTCTATGATCTAACTTTAGCTTGACTAGAATAAGTGGACGACTTTTACAATACAAATATGGCCTATAGCAAGGAACCCAAAATAATTACTTATACATTTTCTACAGAAAACTGGAGAAATAATGTGAATATACAGCAAATAATACTGTTATAACTTTGCAAAACAGAATCAACTATATTATCCAAAATAACTAACCCAGATGAAATGTTCTATGACTAGTCAAGGATGATTCTCAGATATAAAAAAAGCTGGTTACAATCTAAATGATTGAAAAAATAGTACCTATTTTCCTCAACTAGCATTCCAAATAGCAAACTGTATTTATATAAATTTAATTGTCCCTTATTATTATTATATGAGGGTAACATAAACTGACTAGATTAATAGCAACGTTCACAGACTAAACTAGAGATCTTCCATGTCGTATTCTTCAAGCAAATCAAGATCGTCATCCGGCCTAGTGGTAGAGAAATAATCATAATCCAGCTCTTTATCTTCTAGCAATTCCATGTCTTGCATTTTACCAATAGCAGTAACTGGCCGGACAACAGCTTGACTCAGATACTCGGTATTTAAATATGGAGGAAGTTCGTCTTCGTCCTCTTCTTCTTCAGGTTCCAATTGCTGCGAGTCAACCATTTGCAACCACTGAGCATTGTGGTGTCTAAATTTCTCGATTCTTATGCGATCCGCCCAAGAAGTATCGTGTTCTGAGATTATGGTTAAGCACATGTTGCATATTTTCTGTATATTTTTGTTGTTGTCTTGAAGCAAATCTATTAAATAAGCAGGGACATCTGTTTTCGATATCAAATATTCAATACTGTTTTCAAACCATAGAGTTACGTAAAACACAAATACTATTTGTAAAACTATCTCATCGTCTTCCTGATGTGTTTTAAGCAAATCTATAAGTGCGATAATTATTCCACTTTCGCACATTAGTTGAGCGCAATTTTCATCAGCTCCTGCCGTGCCTAGTAAAACTATTACTTGCAAAACCAACTCGGGTTCCGTATTGCTTGTGGTTATAGTTTTCTTGATCCAATCCTGCATGCCGAAATGTTTAAATATCTCGGCCCAATCCAAGTCTGGCAAATGTAAGTTGCTTAAGATTCCAATGCATTCTGTGACGAAATCCAAATTTTTAGATTTCACAACGGCCTTGGCAATATCTCCTACAAATTCAATAAATGAGGGCGAAATAGATAAGTTATTTGATATATTGTGTACGAGTTTCATTAGCATACTATCCTCATAGGTGAATGCTCTCATTATAAGTGATTGTAATCTATTTTCTCTGACCAGTTGTTGGGATATTTCGACATGAGCTGCCAGATTCACACAAAGTGCTGTCATTATTTTATCGCCTTCATTGCCAACGTTTAATAAGAAAATATCTATAATAAGGCCTATTGATTCCACAAAGTAATGTTTTGAGTCTTCATCGTAGCTCAAATGATAAAGCAGCTTTAAAACAACTTCTTGATGCCTTTCATCTCCCATAAAATTAATTACCTTTGGTATAATGCCACTTCGAATCATTTTGGTCCTTAGTTTTTGGTCAAAGGACAAGTTGAATAAAAGTTTAAGTGTTAAATGAACCAAATCTGCACTTCTTGAATTCAACAGTTTTGGTAATTTTTCTATAATATTGTGATTAGCCATTGTATCTTTATTGCATTGCATTATTGATAGTTTTTTCAAAAAAGTTACAATAAGAATGAGTAGCTCATCATTGTTTCTTTCCAAAACTTTGATGAGCAAACCAGTAATATTTCTCTTCGACATTTTTTCTTCCACAATTTCATCTTCTGCAATATTTAACAGCAAATAATAAGCGACACGAAGTAAGTGCTCTTGTTTCTTTACTAAAGTCCTGAATCGCTTCATTTTTTGCTCAGGAGTAAGACGTTTATCGTCTAAACTTTCCATGGAAGTAGTTAAGTCATCGTATACGCTTCCATCTAAGCTTTTATTAGAATCTGTTGCTTTGATAGTAATGTCAGCAAAATGTCCAGATTTCGGACGGACAGGTTCTGGAATTCTACTGCGTGGTATCTCGGACATACTGGCACTATTTGGACAAGTTTTCTTAACTAGCGGCATGTCTGAAGGTACATCACCACCTTCTAATTCAGCCTTCCATTTGTCATATCTCCGGAGCTCAAAATCGATGATCTCCATGCAAATAGATCCAACTTTGCATTTCAAAATTATATGATGAAATTGTGAGTAGACTGAGAAACAAAAAAAAGTAAATACTAAATGGGTGCTTAAGGAAATGCTTCTTTTCCAATCTTCTCTCAGAACTCTTCCTAAAGCGCTTATTAAAGTTTCGTTTTTGGAAAGGGCTTCCAAATTTTCTGCATCTCGTGCCAGAGATTGTATTAGATGCGCACCTTTAACCTTTTCTGACATACCTTCATATAAAAGCTCAATGTAATCATTTAAATTATTGTAATTCGCTTCGGTGGCATTATTTGCTTCACCATTTTTTTCATGGTCCCCTTTAGCACCTCCGTGTAGCTTTCTTTTTTTGAGATAATAAATAGCCTGTTCTACTTCCGAAATGCGCGAATGATGGATTAAATTGCACTGATTAGCGACTTCCTTTGCTACTGCCAGGCAATCTGTTCTGCTACTGATCATTGGTAGTTCGATGGTTTTCTTCAATGTTTTTTTTTCGCCATGTAGAGGACTATCGTTTGGGCCCAATATTTGCACCTCAATGTCGTAGCTGAGGATAATTGCATCACAGTTAGGATGGACATCGATTGGCCCAGGTTTACGTTCGGTTCTAACGTACTTGGCGACTTGAGGATCCATGTTGTACCTGAAAAAGGAGAAAAATTATAGTAACACTTATTTTGTAACTATGTACAAAGCCTCAAGAGATACAATAACTATTTGTACGACAACAGACAGATTCCCTTGTGGAAAGCTTTGGACTTTCTAATCTCATTAAATCCTAGTTTGGTGATTATTGGACAGATTTTTGTGTATAATAAATACCTCGAATAATAGAAAAATTTTCTACCAAAGGCCATAGTGAAGTAATTCTCAGTCAGTATCACTTTTCGAAATTTATACTTTTTGTAAAATTTTGATCCCCATACAAACTTGCCGTTTAATCTATTTTTTATAGTATATTATATAATAAGTGTGGTAACTAGATTATTACCGCACGCGAGAGAAATTTGCAATCTCTAAGGGCGGTAATAACCTAATTACCATACGTATTATAAAGTATTTTATCTCCAAGCGTGCAGTAAGAAAATATCCGAAAGAAATTAAAAAAATTATAAAAAAAAAATCACCTTTGACAGCGGACAAGTAGAATTTAGGTGATAGGTAGGTAATTTATTTCTGGTAGGTAATTAAAGGTACGTACCTATGTAGGTAGAGCGTGCGGTAATAATATTACCGCACGCCGTGCGGCAATGTGGTATTTACCGCACGCAAAATCGTGTAATATATCTTAGTTACCGCACGCTTGTAGATAAAATCATTTATATTAATAAAAAGTTTGTATTGATTAAATAATTGTCAAGGAAATGTCAAACACTTATATCACCATGAAAATTTAGCTTTCTCAAACTAATTAGAATTTGATGTTTGATGCACTGGAAGAAGGGTATTACGTAGACATGAAATAATATACTGACGTCACCAAGGCGTTTGACAGAGTTAAATTCTGGAAAAAAAAATTTGAAAGTATAGGGTTTCATAAAGCCTTTTTTAAGTGGGCAACTTTTTAAGAAGAAAATAGAAAAAAAAAAGAAAACTCAGTGTCATCAGAAATTAACATGACTTCTGGGTCCTTATTCTTGAAACAGGGGAGCAGCGTTCCCAGGAGAAAGAGTGTTCCGTCTGTCTCAATGATATGCAAATCATAATATAAGTAACAAAGACGGAACTCTCGTTTTCCTGGGAACGCTGCTCCCCTATTTCAAGAATAAGGACATTGGGGCCTTGTTCTCAAACAGGGGAGCAGCTTTCTTATGAGAACGAAGGTTCTGTCTTAGTCTCCCATATTTTATATTTTCATAACACTGACAAAGACATAGCAATCGTTCTCGTGAGAACGCTGTTTCCCCATTTCGAGAATAGACACCCTGGTGTTTTGCAGGGTAAACATCTGTCCTCTCCCCTTTCCAGTCTTTTCTTGAACGATGTTAAAAATGTGTTTAAACACTGTACATTTATCAATTTAGCTGATTATAAGAAAGTCTTTGTCATTCCAAAAAATATCGATGACTGAAAATTTACAAGGGGAACTTGACAATTTCTTTAACTGCTGTGAAGATAATCATTGGGCACTAAGTATCGATAAGTGTAAAGTCAAGTCTTTCCATAGATCTAAAAATCCAAGATGTTGAATTCAATTTTTCCAAACATATTCAAAGGTTATCCAATAGAGCCACGGGATTATTGAGATTTGTAATGGGTTACTTGAAAGATTTTTGAGCAAATTTTATTTGATTTTAATAACATTTACCTACACCTTGAGAAATGATTGTTCAGCTATAGTTCCACAATTTTTTTTTGGAGAGGGTACAATGAAGATTCTTGAAATTTGCTGCTCACCTTGTTACAAACTATATCAGTTATGACTATTAATAATTATGATGATATCTTAAAACTCTTAAACATGGAAACTCTTACCCAAAAGAGACATCATCAGGACCTGTGTATTCTGTTCAAACTGGTGAATAATAAATAATTTAATCACCTCAGCTATCTTTGGTTGGTTTCAATGTACTACATGACTTAAGAAAAAATGGACTGTTTCTTTTATTAATGTACAGTATCATCGTACTAAAAAGAACAATTCTCCTATGACTAGATTTGACTAGATAATCCATGTTGATAAAAAAACTGTTTTTTTTTTTAAATGCCGAAAAAAGTACAACCATCTGCCAGTTAGTGTGAGAATCCTACATTGAGAAAGTTGACCATTATTTAAAACTTTAAAAGGTTTGCTTATTAGATTAATACGATGGATTTCAAGTGTAATCTGTCTGACATTCATCTTGACTCCTCAAACATCGGTAGTTGTGAACAAAGAAAATTTCTGGGATTACACATCGATAAATCCCTTAAGTTCGAGCATCACGTCATGGGGGTTGCAGGCAGGGTTTCCAGGGGTTGTTTTGCTGTGCGAACGGTCTCTCGTGAGCTTGGTGAGGCTACTGCAAGGTCCACCTATTTTGCATTGGTGTAATCTCACTTGCAATACGGCATTAGTTTCTGGGGTTCATGCAGCGAGTACCTCTTCAATTCAATTTTTGTGCTGCAGAATAGAGCAGTGCGTTACTTGTGCAGTGTCTCGCCATCGGAATCTTGCAGGCCGCTGTTTCTCTCTCGTAGGATCCTGACACTTTCCAACTTGCTTATACTGGAAATAATACCTCTAATACACCAAAAATATAGGCATGAGATTGAATCGACAAGTCACTATAATACCAGAAGCTGCAGTGTGACGTTTCCGTTGATTCCCTCATCAACTCTTATAAAAAAATCAATGATTTATAATGGCAAAACAAAATATTGCTGCTTTCTAAGGCTCACTATTCTCTGAAAGAATTCTTGAGTGATAGTATTGTGTGATAAAATTAAATAAATGAATAACCATGGTTCCTTCATACAATTTTATTTTGTGTTTGGTCTGTGAGAATTTTTTCTATATATGAAACTAGAGCTCGTTGTTACAATTTTAATAAATTTTAGTTTTGATTTTAAGGATTTTGCTTTGTTGACAATAGTATATTTCCTAACTAGGGCGGAAAGTACCACTTTTCCGCACGCGATTGCAATTTGCCAAACGACGCGCAACGCAGTTCGGCAAGCAATCAAGTGCGGAAAAGAGACGTTCCGCACGAGTTAGGAACACTATTTTTTCTACAAGATGAAAGGTAATATTTTTACCTACATATTTATCAATTTAAGATATTTTTTTTCACTTTTATTTACAACTAATGTATAATGTGCGTATTATATTTGTGATTTTGGTAGTATAATGACATATGTTATTCCTCCAGGGATTAATGACGAGTAGCGGGATTAATGGTCATTATTCCACAAAAGTGTCAGTGTCAAACGTGTAGTGCTTGTGGATTTGTATTGAAAATTATGAGACGGATGAAATTTGTTCATTGAAAATCTCAAATAAATTAATTTGTCGTAAATAAAGTAGAGTATACTACTCGCAATAATGGCTATTATTCCCTCGGAATGTTACTCCCTCGCCGCTAACGCGGCTCAGGTCGTAATAATCCTCGGGAATAATAGCTATCATTATTGACTCGTGGTATAATCTACTATTTCGTACCTGTACCTGTAGTATACCTGTTTACCTGTATACCTAAAACTTTCAGGTATTTTACTTTTCCGCACCGAGTGCGGAAAAAAACGGAAAAGCACTAGTGCGGAAAAGTGATACTTTCATGACCTAAAATGCGTGCGGAAAAGTACACTTTTTCGCACGCTCGTAGAAAAAATGTTTTTCCTACGAGCGTGCGCAAAGTAGTACTTTTCCGCACGCATTTCCGGGCTCAAAGTTACACTTTTCCGCACTCAGTGCGGATACAGGCCTTATCCGCACTGAGTGCCGAAAAGTAATTATAATTGTCAAGCAACAATAAGTGCACCTGTCGACTTTGACACATGATGACAAATTTTTCCTCTATTTCTATATCAGCCAACATCTATACAAACACCAATTATAAATTAACTTTGACCCATCAGATTTGTTCTCTATTTATATGCAAAAATCTATAAACTTTCTCATCAAATTTAAACGCTTTAAGATGAACAGCTCTGACGAGGATTTTCTGTTATTTGTTTCTGTTATGTAATTTTTTGATAAATGCATAGGTTCCTTTCAAGTTAATTAAAAATAATTAAACAAATTATCGTTTTTTTTTTTTTTAATTTTTGTTATTACCTACCTGATATGAAGCTCGTAGGAAAAATGTTGTTCCTAACACGTGCGCAAAGTGTCTTTTCCGCACGCAAACACGTATCCGAACTCCGCTTCGCGTCGTTCGTATAACTGTGTTTGCGTGCGGAAAAGTAACACTTTGCGCACTTGTTAGGAAAATAACTATTTCCACTTTTCTGACAATAAAGCCTATTTTGATTTGATTTGATTTGACAAGGCCTATTATACTTTAGGAGACTACTTTGCCAACGAATTTTAATTATGTTTTATGTTTGTCATTGTTTTATCTCCTCTATTTATAGTCTTTCTCAACAGTAATATTTTAATGTGCCTAGGATTTTTGGTTGTTTATATTGTATTCTGTCTTCGGTTACTCTGGCCCTTTAGACCATGGTTTATCCATAGTTGCTTAGATCATAAGGTCTGTTTACACAGAAATCACAAACCAGTCGCAGCGTTTTTTATTGGATTGGTCCAAATCGCCAACAACCAGTTTCCTATTTTTGACCAATGAAATTCGCTCTTACTAGTTTGAGATTTCTGTGAAAACAAACTCATAGTTGTGTTTTGCATACCTACTTTTTCAATTTTTCACCTTGATTTTTCTGTAAGATGCTATACTTATTTTGTTTTCTCATTTTTCATTAAGTATAACCATGTTTAGTTAAGTTTGTCATGAGAATCGTGTAAGGATCTTTTGGACAATAAAGCGATTTTAAAAGTAAAATAGAAAAGTATTATCAGAAGATCTTATTAATAACAGAACAGAAGAGAAACTAAAATAAAACTATGGCATAGTAGTAAGGATAGGCGATAACCCGAAAGACGTTTTTAATTTGTATGTTGTATATTGATCTTGAACTTTCATTCCTATAACATAACCGTTAATTAGAAAATAGCTGAGTTTTCTTTGGAAGTTGGATCGCTGATTTCTCTGAAGCTACCCTGAGGAGGCAACCGCATTTCAAGACTGCCCTTCTTAGTTCTTAGTATCTCGATTAGCATATAGATTGGCATTCATGCTACTTACAATAAACTAGTAAACTTGTAAAAGTTACAATGGGGCTTCCTTGCCTTTGAAATTTTTCTGGGATTGATCATAGAACTTCTAGAAGAAATACATCCCAAACATACACTTACCTTGGCACTATGGAACTTCAGTTAATAACACGGAAATCCTATAACTTTTGTAATGTTGTTGATTTTTCAAACCATCTTTAAAAGATATTTAACTAAAGAAATAGTTGGAAGAGCTCGTAGCTCCTATCCAGTGGAAATAGAAATAGAAATACGTAAAAAGCAAAAGTTTGACAATCAGCTGATTTGGTTCCATTGATTTTTTTTCTCACAAATGACAACAATCACAGCCTATTCATGACAACGACATACAATTGTGGTCAACTGACAGCAAAGGTCATAGGTTTGATCCCAGGGATGGTCCTGGGCGGATTCCGAACCCACAATTCGATAGTATTGTCTCTATCTATTTTATATGGACGATACTATCGAATCGTGAGTTCGGAATCCGGGCCCTGATCCAACCGGCAAAAAACCGTACCAAGAACGGTTTTGGAACCAACCATTCAGTTGAGTTCGGAACACATCTGTTCGGAATGGGATTTTAGTGCAGGGTTATATCATAGGTGAGTTCGGAATGGTAGAAAGTGTTGGCACTTTTTACACTATTTATGCACTGTGACGTTCGTTAATGGGTAGGAGTAAGTTTGATGCAAGGATGATATACACTACTACTACAGGATGTCCTATCCATAAGGCCTGTGTGTGTGTGTAACAAATCCCGCCCTTCCCCACCGCTGCGCCAAATCACCAGTTGTGACGTAGCCAGCATGTCATTTCTCGCCCCGACGTAGGCTGTTTAAACAGCTGACCACTTAGTTATGACGTCGGAAATGGTGACACACCAATGTGGCGGCGATTATCAAAAACGAGGCCGATAAGCAATCCTGTAGGTTTGTATGTTTGTATCATCTTTGAGTTTGATATACCTACACTTTATCTACGTTTGGAAATAATTTGGTGTCCGAATGGTGTGAACATGGTGGGACACTCTTTACTCGGTATAAAATGATGGAATATTCGACTAAAATCACTTTCCGAACTCAACTCATGTGATGAAGGTGTAATCGGCGGTGTAAGACCGAATACACCATCATTTTGTTCCGAGCAAACGGTGACCCACCATTTTCACACCATTCGGGGTGACTTTTTCAATTTTAAAGCCTCTCTCTCTCTGGCGTCAAACTGTCAGACGCCAAAAGAGTATAGAGAAAACAACGGTTGACAGCCGCTGACAGTGGTTTGTTGACAAGACTTTTGTATATGTGGAAACTGGAAACTATTATTTCCTCGGTTTTTTCGAAGTTTTTTCCTAACAATGGTGATTGTGTAGTGTGCCTTTTTGTAAAAATAATTCCTATTTACCGGCGGACGTGTCTTTCCATAAGTTTCCATCAAATCCTACATTTATCAAACTTTGGATACATAAAATCAGAAGAATACTCGCAAAAAAAAATGGAAATCCACGGCCTATCAAGTATACAAAGTAATCCACGTTCAAGTTCAGTTTGCGGCAGCTGTTTGCTTCCAAAATAATCCACCGCTTTCTCCATAGCGAAGTTCTGCAAATGAAATAGTGACTTTTCCCACATTTTCTTTCAAAACACCCAATACACACTGGCATTGACATTTGACAAGCAAGCAAATGTTGGCGGGAAAATGAGATTATTGTTTTCATACTTATTGTCCATCTCTTTTAATTGAAAACGGAACCCAAAAAAACGTACTGTGACCGTGACCAGTGGCGGATCTAGCATGAAGCAAACGACGCACTCGGCGTCGGGCCCCCAGAGCTGAGGGGCTCCCACACAACCAGATTCTAAAGGGACCGATTAAAAAAAAAAAAAAAACTCGTAGATATAAAAAAAAAATCGAAAATTGAATTTTGAAAGAGACGACAACGTTGTATACGGATGCCAATTCTCGAAACCGGGGAACTGCATTCTCACGAGAAAGAAGGATTGCCCTGTCTTTGTCAGTGCTATGGAAATAGAAATATATGGGCAACTAAGACGGAACCTTCGACCTTCGTTCTCATGATGGGAACGCTTAGATATCCTCTATTTCGCGAATAGAGGCCCTGTAGGAATTCCAGGGCTGGGAAGTCTGGGAACACGACAAGTAGAATTCCACTTTCATGACGTCATTTCATTCGCGCCCTATTTATCGGTACAGACTACAGTAAAGGCGATGGTGACAGTTGCTAGGCAACCTAACGTCATGAAAGTAGAATTCTAGTAGAATGTCGTGATCCCAGCCCTGTTGCGCCCGACGCGATTTTACGTAGATTTTTTAGCTATTTGTCTTCCAGACTCCAGAAATAATTCATGGTACTTTTCGGTGGAGTACGGACAGTATCAGTGCAGTGCGGTACTATACTATATTGTATTTCTTTTTATTTAGATAAAAAATTCCTGAATTTTTAGTATTTTTTTTTTCGTTAGCTTGTTTTCTCTCTCATATGTTCTTGATAAACTTGTTTTTTGATTAAATTTGTTTTTATATTTGGTTGTTAAAAACTTCAAAAATATAAATAGCTTTCGCACACTCACCTAACACCCCAACACCACATGAAAAATACCTAAAAAAAGCATGACAGGGCCCCTAAAAAAATTTTGCGTCGGGCCCCTAAGGTCCTAGGTCCGCCACTGACTGTGACGTGAATATTACCTTACCAAGAATCACAGAATAAAATAAGAACAGATTAACAATAAGTCTATTTTTATTTTTATCAATTACTTATTGATCAGACAATACATATTTTGAAATCCTAGATTGTTCTAGATCTGCTCTGCTCCAGATTTTTCATTCATACCTAATGTGTGTCGCAGAATGTGGTGGCCTAGAATGAAAAAAATAAATAATAGGAAATACATATTTCTAATTCTAATCAGCAATCCCGCTTAAATTGAAGCCAGTCGAGACTTGAATCCGAACCTTCGTGTTTTTTCTTTTTTCATTATTACCTGGCATTTCAAAGCATTTTCTTCACTGTCACACCAGTAGCTGGGCCCCCAGGTGCATGGATCACCTCCAACTAAGATAGGAGCCGTTGGGGCAGGGGCAGGAACAGTAATTACAAAAGCTAAAAATATATTTGGATAGTTTAAACTAAACTAAATTGTTGCTATACAGTATACAGTAATATACTTTGGCTTTAGCTAAGAGCTTTGAAAATCAAAAACGCTTTTGATCTACTTCTAATAGCAAATCAAGCATACTGTTAATATGTTGTGAATCTTTCAAGTTGAGTACATTGTGCACAATCTTGCAACACTGCCCAATGACTAGTAAATTCCTGAACTTTACCGCGCAATAACGATCATTCTAGAGGCAACGACGCGTTATAAAACAGAGTCGGCCACTGAGAAAAAAAGTTCAGTCAGTATGATAAATTAGACGCCAGTAGTGGTAGTGTATCCAGAATCAGTGAGTGGTGATTGGTGAATTGATTGCGAATAAGTTTGTAATCAGATAGGTAGGTAATTAGTGAAACGCCGGTCGATAGATAGTAACAGTGAGTCCTGATTTAGTTTTGTGTCTAGGTAATTGATCGTATAGTTAAACAAAGTGTTGTATTGATGCTAGTTGTGTCGTGATTTGTGTGTTATTTCCTTGAATAAAGGTATAAGAATTAATTTTGGAAAAGTAGTCTCACTGATCTACGAATTTGCCAGCAAGCCCCCAGCCTCCAAATAAGCTCTATCACGAAGGTAGCTGGGCCTTTCAAAACACGCCCTTATTTCAATTTTCAAACTTTTAACTTTAAGAAGAGGGTAAACGAGAGGAGGTTTACTTGACAAAGAACATTTCATCTGACTATAAGTAGTCACACTAAGCTTTGGTCACACTCACATATGCACTCGGAGAGTTGATTAACAAAAGATATGGAGGAAAGTACTATGTACTAGTACTCCAATCGAGACTACAATACTGTAGATGACAGTGGCGACGCGTAACAAGCAGCCGGGGGGGGGGGGGGGGTAAATTATACGTGGGCTCAGGGGCGCCTCCCCGCAAACGCGTCGCAGGCGAATTTTTTTTCAAATATCAAGGTCATTAACTTCTCCAGAACAATTATTTCCTGTTTGAGAAAAATAAAACAAAAAAAAAAATATTTTCTTCAATATATTGTGTATTTTCTTTTGGGAATCGTGATTTTTCTTTTGATTATTCGATTCTGGGGGGTGATTAGTGATTACCCCCCTCCCCCGACGCGACGCCCCTGGCAGATGAGTGAAACGCCTGGAGAATACAAGCAGCCAACTATAGCTAAAAAACACTTGAATGATAATGCAGAAGGAATCGAGCAATCGGAAATGGCAAATATGGCATTGTTTTTACAGAAACGGCTGCCTGACCAATTACCCTGATTCACGATGAGAATCTTATCCACATCAACAAAGTGGAAGATTCTATCGAAAAACTGCCTAGGGACTATGCAACGTGTAACGGAGTTACCAGATTTTTTCCGAAAAATGTGTGCGCCTCTGACTTCAAATTTAATTAATTAATTGACTTTAATTCAACTATTTGCTCTAGGTAACTTTCGGTCAATTCCGCGGTAATGATTTTAGCTGATTATCGTAATTTTAATTATTTGTGTAACTAAAGCTACACAACTTTTCTTTAATTTTAAGAAGAAGCGCGGCTTTTTTCAATTTCTCCGAAATAGTATTCATTTCTAAATATATTATTTGACGGGTGACCTCGGTGCAAATAGCAGTTTGGCTGATCGCACGCTCGAGGCGGCATCGGTGGCTTTAGACCTATGGTAGCCGAAGCGCGCACCGTGGTATTTTCTCCCACGAAGCTTGCCCCCCATCGTCGAGCGTTTTCCTTACAAACGAACGGCGTTACCGAATACCGAGGTAGGCCTTCTCTCCGAAATAACGACTGGTACCTGTTTCACCGCTACGCGAGTAAGTTATTTTTCATCAATACTTAGTTGGTAAATTATATTTTTGTTTTTATTGTCACGGTTCACTTGGACGGACAGAGTTTAAGATTCTATAGACTATCACGGTTTATGTGTACGGGTAGTTTTCGCTAAGATATTTATTTTTGCAAAGTAAAGTTCTATAAATTGTCACGGTTTATATGCACGGACAGTTTTCTCTAAGACATTCATTTTTACAAAGTAAAGTTCTATAAATTGTCACTGTTTATGTGTACGGACAGTTTTCTCTAAGACATTTATTTTCACAAATTTTAAAGTTCTCTAAACTATCACGGTTCATGTGTACGGATAGTTTTCTCTTAGATATTATTTAT